TTCAGCTTCAACTTGGAAAGTCAAAAGACAAAATACGACTGTTCTGTTGATAGGAGGAGAATTACAAAATCATCAGCAAAGGTCCTGGTCCTACTGTAAGAAATCAGCTCTGTTTATACCCAACTGAAGATATTCAGAGCTTGCACCAGTCAGTAAAAACAGAAACATATTTTAGCTTCAATAATCAGCCCTTTTCTATGTGTACGTATATACACAAAACCACATGTATACACAGGCACATATGTGCATGTATCAGTTTAGATTCTCAAGAAACATGTTTCACATATATATGAAAGAATGTTTCTTCATATATATGTATGTTCCTTTAGAAACTAAAAGATGATGAATAATACAGTTTGTGCTACTTTTTTTTTATGCTGCTCCCACATCTTTTGTCAGTATGCAGCAGAATGTTATATTCAAAACAGATTAGAGAAGTTCCTAAGAAGAGGAATCAATAGACTTTGGATACTTAGAAGAGAATTGGAAGAGAAATAAGACGGCGGGATAAATGCATTAGCTATAAATGTCTGTGAAACAGATCATTCATCCACAAAACAGTTAAAACATTTGATATTCAGGCTTCACGGTTAACACAAATTGTTTTAACAAGGTAATTTGTTCCTTCCAAGAGTTCATATATCCAGAAAATATTAATGGTTCAGTTACATCCAATTCATGTTTTAAAAGCACTTTCTCCCTTTGTTTTTCTACTTTGAGAGCTTACATATTTTTTCAGCTGAAAAATAATTAATGGTATTTTCTGAAAGGTCTGACAAGTATTAAAGTTTGAAAATTTGAAATGTATGGGGCTTTATAAAGAAAAACTACTTGAGTTACTCCCCCATACAATTTCTAATCAACGAATATGGCGGAAGACAAATATTTTAATAGATCATTGATTTTCACAATTGCCCCTGTCCCTTTGGTATATGACGAAAAATTAAATGGAATATGGAAAAAATTTTTAAAAAAGCATTTTATGATTTTGAATCTAAAACTAGATTAAGAAGCTTAAGGCAGTAAATTCTTAACATTCTTTAACATCCTCAGATGAGATTCTATTAACTTAAATTCACAGGAAAAAGGCTCCAGACTGTACATCAAGACAAAAGCTTTCAAAAATATTTTTTGTCAGGATTTTTTCAGACAGTCTTTGGACAGAGATCGTTTTGTGATAAGTAAGTCTGACTCTTCAGGTTAAGATGACATTGTACAGTGTGTCTCCTGTTGATTTTTAAATTTCAGATTAGGGATTGTAAACCTCCCTATAAACAACTGCGATTCCAAATTCAGTTTTCACCTGACTTTTCCTTATAAGTCTAAATGAATCAGAAACTATAAACCAAAGATACAGTATTTCCCTAACACAAATAAAGCAGTCACAGCTGAAACTGAAAAGGAAAAAAAGAAGTCAAACTTTCACAGAGCTTAATGAGGTAAGGTACTAGAATCTCAGTGGGGAGGCAAGTAAATTGGGTGATTACTCTAACATGCCACACCGAGGTCTGGCAATTTATGAAAGATGAATATTAAGATTAAATTTGTAAGTGATAGGTATAATACTGTATTTAGAGCTTTGAATTATCTAAACCACTTCAAAGTATTCAAGTTTTGTGAAATTAGTTAGCACAGTATTGTACTAAAGCTATTTTCATTTTTCAAATCACAAAACTACGTGAAGTACAGTTTGTAAATAACGCCTTTCAGGAGAGAAGAAAGTAATAGGAAAAGAAAGTCTGATTTTGTTGCTGTCTTTCATATGATTTCACACTGATTTCAGATGGATTACTCTGTGACTGGAATTGCAATACTGGTGTCACAGTGCTTTTTAAAAAATGTATTAAGATCTTGCTTAAAAATGATAACGAATCAGCAGATAAGAATACTAAAAATTGTACTTTATAAGCTACTTTTCAATTGAAAATGCCTAAGAAACTCTCATCAAGAAACTGAGAAAAGGGAAAGTCAGGAGAAAGAACGACAATTCATATACTGTAGTGAAAAAGCACAAAACAAAGATCTGACTATTCCTACATAACGGCCAATGTGAACTATTTATTAGCATTGTATATGCAGCTCTCAGATATTATTTACAGTTTCCAGCAGTGAATGCATCAGAAAACCAAAGGCACAGAAGACTGAAAAAACTCAAAAAAACCTCCTGGCATATTTGTTAGCATTCAACCTTATGTGATACAACCTTATGTCTGTAAAATCTGTCAACATTAGAGATTCAGAAACATTTGTCAACTATTCTGGAGACCATTACTTTTCCTATGATATTGAGCATGACCACTGATAATCCTGAGGCAACTAAATTTTAACCACAGTACTTTCACAAACCAGCTCAAACAAGAGGAGGAAGAGAAAATGGCTGAAGACAACCAAACCAGAGTCTTAGAAGAAAGCCTCCCATGGAAGATGACAATGGACTTTCCATTTACCAGATAAGCACAACAATGTCATAGCCACCAACCCCGTTACATCTTCTTGATTTACATCACCTTCTCATCCAGTGAGATCTTGAAATGGAAATGCGAGGCTTCTAACTAGTCACAAGTGAAAGTGTGAGAGCTGTTCAGTTTATTGGGGGTGGTGGGTATATGAGGAACGTTAGCTAAGGCACTACCTGGACAGAGCATGACCATCTCAGAGGTCAACTTACACTTTTCTGCCTTGCCCAAACTCAAACTCAACATTTTGTTCAGTGACAGATTTTCAACAGCGACTGGGAAAGCTAAAAAAGAAAGTTCCCGCTGCTGTGAAGCAAAAGTAAATTCAGCCCTCTCCAAATGTTTTGGCTCTACAAAAGAGCATCCACAAAGACTAAGTGAGATGAAATTATCTAAAGAAGATGGATGAAGGCCAAATAAATTTCTGAAGCAGTTAGAGAGGAGAGAAAGGTGCATCTGGATAACAAGGAGGATTTGAGATCAGAAAGATGTTAAAAAGTCGTACTATGGTTCAAGGACCTGGGTTTAGAGGGAAGGAAGACCAAACTGCTCAGGACAGCCATTCAGATTATTACAGCTACCTGGGAAGGATTCAAGAGTTATAATATGCACAGTCTTTTGCAGGCAGATATGAGCTTATTTTGCACGAGCTGACCAGAAGCCATTCTGCTATGACAGCGTACAATCAAGCACTTGGTAGTAAGCTTTGCTGCAAAGCAGTGTGTATTAGATCAGGCAACGTACCATTCTCATGTGGCCACAAGTCCTCAGGCTGACCCAGAGTGCAGGCTACAGTAAGCTCACATCAGTTTGCAAATGGGCGTGCACATACACTCACAAAAAAAGAAAAAAAAAAAAGAAAAAAAAAAGAAAAGAAAGATTTCAAGACCAGTGTGCAACGAATCCATCAATTACGAGGTAGGATGAACTGAGGTTTGCAGGATAAGGGATGGATATCAATCCCTGAGAAGCAGTTGGGAAAAATTACCAGGAACATAAAGCTTATGGTGCAGGGAGACCATCACTGAGCATGCCCATTCAGAGAAGGGGCACTATGAAGCCCCAAATTTATAATGGACAACTCTTTCAGAGGCAGCTCTTTAACAGAGACAGGCTAAACATCGGAACTGTCAGACGTATAACATGCTACAGGTCTTTATGGAATAACTTCTGTCAGTGATTTGAACAACTTTTTTCTAGTGATTGGAACGCAATGCAACACAATTATACTAACAAACTCTTTCCAACACCAACATAACGCAGGAACAAACGCCTAGCTTCAGTCACACATCCCAGCGTAGCTGGTATTCAACTATACATACCTGCATTTAAGTCCAAAACAAGCATATTTGCAATATGGAAGTTATTTCCTTCTGCCTTTCATTCTCTTTCAATTACATATAAAGCGTCAATAATAATCATTACTTTTTCCTTTAAACTTTTCAAATATCGCTTCCAAAAGGGAGACATTTCATTTATGAAACAGTGCAAAGACAAAAAGGTGCTTGCTATAGATATGTAAAAAATACTGCTATTATACTTTGCCTTTTAGATTTTTGTTTTATTTAGCTCTTTTATGGCTATCTGCTTCAGATGCAGCATACAACATAGACTGTATTACTGATACACACTATTCACCTATCGATTTTCCTGTCATGTATGTAAAAATATTAAATAATCAATTTTCATGTATCTGAGATAGATTACAGAACCTCTAATATACAAGGAGAAAAAATATCAACGCTTAAAAGAATTTGCCTAATATGTTAAAATATTTCAAGAAAATGCTACAGATTGGAATTCAGAAATTGCTATGACTCAATCCTTTTTGTAGGTTTTGTCAGAACTGAAACTCTTCTTACTCACCCTATTTTCATTCTCACATCTACAGTGATTCTTAGGAACGGACAGATCATATTGCACATATTTATATAAATGCATGTTGGTGTTGCATATACAAATTTGGCATACAAATACAAATATAAACACATATCATACTTGTTAAGGATCTATTTAAGTATTCTAGTTGCACAATGTTAAATTGGTTGCTCTCTTATTGCAATCCATTTCTCATCTTCACAGAGGAGAAAAAATTTACTTTATATATTTATCATAACTCCAGCAATGGCATCTGGAACCAGTAAGGCATGTTACTTTTTGTGAGCATCTTCATTATTTTTTGTGCTGATTAAATTGGGTGTAATAGTGAGAACATATTGACTTCACTTAAGCAACTGGGGAAATGGGATAAATCTATGAGGAGAAGAACATCTGTATTATACAAGCATGGATAAGAAGATTGATCAAAGCTGTTAAGAAAAGAAAAAAGGAGAACCCATAGCAGCACTTCTAGAGATTGTTTTTTGAATGGCCTGAAGCTTGTTTTCTAATTAATTTCCAACTTTAAGGTTTACAGCACTGTAAGTCATCGTCTTTGCTGACACACAAACCAATTATTTACCTTACAGACGCCTAAGAACGAGAAATAACAATTCAAGACAAAGCAAGATGATTAAGGCAAAGCAAATGTTTTGCAGTACTCACCTTAGGCACCCAGTGGCATTGCGCAGCACCTGTGATGAATGGAGTTGTATTTTATGATCATCCTGGAGAGGAGAGTTTTCCCATCCAGAGTGGGGGATGATCACTGCATTGGTCAACACTGCGAGGGCATCCTGGATGATTGGCATTTTCAGTGCATCACAGGAGGATAGATTCCAGAGAACTCCTACAAAAAAAAGCGTGAATGACTAATAATTAACACCTCTGCAAAAACCATCGAATAGTTCCCATTTTTAGAAAAAAACAACAAAACATTTCACAGCATTAGTGCACCTAATAAAGCTATTTCTGCCAAGAAAAGAAGACTACATTGTAAATGGAGCTGAATGATACCTGCATACTTTTGCAATGGGAATACAGCTTTGAATACACAACAACTAATCACAGCAACACTGGCCATTTCTCAGAGCTAAGCCTAAAAACTGAGCAGCTGGTTATGATCTAGGTTAGTTGGTATTACAAGCAAAAAGACTTCCTTCACAACCTGAGACAGTAGTACGGTATTAGTCTGGCCTTCGACAAGCCAGTTTTTATTTTGTAAATAAAACACTATGCAAAGTTACCGAATACTACTGGTTTTGCACAGAAACAACAAGCTTAATGGTGCAACTCACAAGGCGATTTACTGGTATTAAAAAAAACAACCCTTGTTAAAATTCATAATGTACCAAAGAAAACGAAAGGCAATCAAGAACCAAAGCTTTCTGAGCACAGCCACAAGGATCACAGCCACTGCAGATGTGCCACACACAAAGCAGGCAAGAAACTGTTGGGGGCAAACAGACTCTGGGTTTCATTCCCCCACGCATATTTGCTGGAAAAGAACATTTGAGTTTAGTGATGCGCCGAGAGCCTGCTGTTGCTGGGCAGCTACTAGTGCAGGGGGAAGCTGGAGGGCAATACGCTGCTCTGAAGCAGCAGCGGTCTTTATTTTTGCTGTATGTTCTGCCAGGAGCAGCTTTAAGAGCAAGCCTGCCTCCTCCTACCTCTCCCTTTGCCAATACACATCCTCTTCTCTCCTTCTTACTTTCCTTCCTGCAGTGACAGTAGCCTGGCCCCACACCTAAGCTTGCAGGGCAAAATTCAGTTTTGCCTTTACAGCTCTCGAGTCTTGAATCAATGTGGAGAAGGATTATTGCCATCGTATACACAAGGTTGCATCACACCACCAAAAGGCAGAGAGAACGGTGGTGAGAGAAAACTGCTAAAGACCTCATGAATGCAGACTCAGACATTTATAAATCTAAACAGCAAGAACACCACTTCTTTAGCATTCTCTGTTTTGAAGGGGAGGCATAATTAACAGGAATCAATCTACATTTTTGTGGTTTTTTTTTTTTCCCTTTAAAATTAGCTATCTCTATGAGGAGAAGTTTCAGTTATACAATTTCATGTTTTTATTTTATAGGGAACTGTATGCAAAGACTGTTATGCAGTTTAATGTAAAAATTTTGCTTAGTATACCAATTAAAAAACCACCCCATTTTAAAATAATCTGTATGTGGTAAACAGGTAGAAACTGACAGACTTCAGCTACAGACCAAAAATACCCTCATATCAGCAGATACAAGAATACTGTTCGTTTTTTTTTCATTTAAGAATTGCTGTTTTAAAGGGAAAAAAGAGTCTTTGCTTGAATTCTGTTCTGAATGTCTTTATGAAAAGTAATACTGTATTTAAAGGAATAAAGACCTTCATAAATACATTTATTCTCACTTCTCTGTGACCTATTCTTGGTAAGCTTTACTGGCACATCTGCTATTCCTGAAATACCTAGCATTTTGCTAGTTTTAGTCAGTACCAAAATCAACGTGGTTGTCTTTTTTTTACATTTATCTAGACAAGTGTAAACGATGTGCATGGTATAGAAGTAGAGAATCAGGATGCAAATCTTTCCCCTTCAAGGTCTGATTTAGTTCTTATGCAAGACTATGTGCTGCTTTTTTGTGAATAAGTTCTGTTTTGGATGTGAAGCAGAGAAGAGTGCTTTGATGGCAACAAAACAGTGCTTTGGGCTTCAAGAACTAGTCCTAAACTGGAAAATACAGAAGCAAACATAAGATCCCTGTCTAGCAAAATATTTAAAAATGTGTATGAACACGCTATTTGTTATTCACTCTAGGTTCTTGCTAGAAGAAGCTTTTAAAAAGTAAACTCACCTAACCATTATGGTAAGCTGGTATTCAGCGATAGCTGAGATGCCCAGAAATATTCTTTAAACCCTTTTTCTCTGTTTAAAATCCACTTGACACTACTTTTGCTCAATGAACTGCTAAAGTAACAGGCGAGCTTCAAATCCAAGTGAAAACCTACATGTTCACCCAAGAGTCAAAAAGTGGGGTCTGGTTTCACTAACTGGAAATTAAACCTTCACAGTAAGAGGACGAAAGGATCACTAGACTAAATTAGCTGTTCTGACTTCTCCAAAAATGACTGTAAGTCAAGGCAGAATCAAGCAAAACGGCACTGCCCAGTAAGCCTGACGCTGTCTTCAAAGTTTTTGCACCTCACATGCAGCTTTAAGGTGTCAGATAATCTTCTTCCACTCTAGAAGCCTTTTATCTAATTTTAAGCCTTTGAATACTACCAACCACATTAACGAAAAAAAACAGTTTTATTCTGACAAGTTATAATTTATTCTCACAAGTAGTGGAGTCTGCTACTTGCTGAGGTTGGCATTTTAAGTGCCTCCTTGTACCCTTCCTTAATTAAGGATTTGCAATTATGAAAGAGCACTGGCAATTCACTTCCCTTTACTTTCGCTGAGGACGACCTGGAGCTACATTTATGTGGGGTCCAAGAAGATGATCCATTCCCTTGACTTTGCAAGGGGAAGTGATTAAAAAATAGATCTTTTACCTGAGGCACCTTCCATTATGGAGCCACCTCTTCTCCATATGCCTGTGAACACATTTTTCAAGCATATATGCTATAGTAACACTATAGTAAGGAGCTGGTCACTGAGACCATCTGCCACTTTACTCCGAAAGCCCTGACTGAATTGGGTTTCTGTGCACAATAAGAAAGTCTGGAATAGCCTCAGAGGTGCCTTGACTGCCTCTTAAATCATCCGTGTGTCATCAGCTTCCCACAGGAAGGGAAGGGACTGGACTTGGCATACCAGTGATTTATCACGAATAGCGGGACCCATCCTGCTGGATATGTACTGGAAAAGAGCTGTTCATCCAACAACTCAATAGTCCAGCACAACAGTTCAGCATCTGTAGACTGACTCTTGAGAGAGAAGGGGAAACAAGGAACTAATCAGATCAGTGCTGCACCTCTCTTAATCACTTGCATTCATAGATCATGGAGCAGATCCTCCTGGCAACTATGCTAAGGCACATGGAAAATAAGGAGGTGATTGGTGAGAGCCAACATGGCTTCACTAAGGGCGAATCCTGCCTGACCAATTTGGTGGCCTTCTGTGATGAGGTTACGACATTGATGGATAAGGGAAGAGCAACTGACATCGCCTACCTGGACTTGTCCAAAGCATTTGATACTGTCCCACACGACATCCTTGTCTCTAAACTGGAAAGACATGGGTTTGATGAAGGGATGGTGGATAAGGAATTGGCTGGATGGTCGCACTCAAAGAGTTAGCATAGTCGCCAGGAGGATCTGCTCCATGATTCCATGATTTCCTCCTTGCTTTTAAGGTTGTGATGCATTCAGAGTAGGCATTTTGTGTCGCCATTCACACATCACTTTAGGTTGTGTTGGATGCTACATAGAGAAAACTAGCTACACCAGACTGATCATGTCTATTTGCAGGTTGAAGTTTTTCACCCTTACATGTAACAAACTGAAGCACATGGAAAAAGTTTGAGTTTAAAACGAAGGAGAAACTGCTACTGAAAGCATTCAGCGGGTTCCAGTTGGGAGATGGGTTTTGGGTCCAAGTACCAATTGCCAGTCTCGCAGCTAGCAGATGACGGACTCCTGGAGGAGTCTACAAAATGGAGATCTTGCTGTACCAAGTCACATCTTCTGGAGTAGCTTATCAGAGGACATGCTTCTACTGTATTCAAAAGGTTATTTTACACACTAAATGTAAATCATCTTTTTTGAAGAAAGCCTTTCACAGATAACAACAATTAAATTTAAAAATGGGTTACAAATTTTGAAAAAAGTTATAATCAACCTTTTCAAAGTCATAACTGTACAGATACAGTTCATAAGGAAAACTACATGATCTCAGTTAAGGCAATTTAAGTTTGTCACCACTGGAAGAAGGAACTGAGAAAACAGAGAACCAGGAAAACTTTGATTCTTTGATTTATCTTTCTCTTAGCCAAAACCAAGAAGACTGAAGACAAGACCAACCCTTTTCAAAGTATGGTCCAGGCTGATGAGATGTTACTACTGCTTAGCAGACAGAACTTACCCACCCACCATGCTTTCAGCTTAGAAACAGTACTCTTTTTTACATAAATTAATTTAAGCTATTTCAATAGATACCACATCACTTACCATAAAGAAGCAAAGCAAAATATTTTAAAAATTTGAAGACACTCAATTAATGAAGCAGTCTGAGTCAAAAACCCACCATTTCTGTATCAGGCTGGAGCTCAAACTCATCCTGATTAAACTCTTCAGTGCAGTTTTTAGCCAGCATTTTACTTAGAACTGGTATTTACATACTTATATCTCTAGTCAGATACAGCTAAAGACTTGATGAGCCACATGCTATCCTTATTCCATTCAAGTTAAGAAAATACAGATCATACACTTCCGTGAAAAAAAATAGCACCCTAGCAAGAGACCATGTGCAAAATCAGGGAAGTCTAAACAATTATTCAGTGCATGAATTAATGCTACCTCGAATTATGACTTTTACATATATAAACAAGCCCTTTAGAACAACTTAGCCTACAAATATAAATGGAAACCAAGAAACTGGAAAAGTAATTTTTTCCAAAAAGCATTGCCCCTGCCACACTGCCAGTATGTATTTTATTTTTCTTATTGTGCTGTAAAAAGATGTACTTTGCCAAATAAATTACAGGGTAAAAGGACTGTAAGTAAACAAATCTTATTGTGAGAAACAAGACTTTGATTCTCAATTTAGTATGTTTAAGTCAGCCTTAAATTTATATTAAGATTTTGCTTATTTAATATTCTTTGTTAAAAATAAAAATCTAGAAGTCTTCCAACTCATCT